AGGTTTTTTCTTTCTTTCTTTCTTTCTATCTTTCTTTCTTTCTTTCTTTCAGGAGAATAGAGGAGGAGGAGGAGGAGGAAGCACAACTGACGAAACGTTGCCCTAACGACGTCGGTGGTCGTGCCGACGACTTAATTGAGTGTGCCTCGACGATAGGGACCAAATTAACGAGTCCGACCTCCGCCTCTGCTACTTGCAACAGCCTTCATGAGATGAGAACAACCAGCAGCAGTAGTAGTATATGCTACGATGACTCTATATTTTTATCTTTTTTATTTTCTTTGCTAACGAAAAAACAAACTTTGATAATCGATTTAGAAAGAAACAAAAAAGAAGAAGTATAGAAAATAAATTCAAATTTATGGTTATTATTATTATCATCATCAYCGATGAACGATTAGAATTATGTTAGAATTAATATTGTATATCTGTGTGTGTGTGGTATGTTGTATTGTATAATAATAAATTTGGTTCAAGAATAATAACAATATTAAATTTTAAGTAAGATATCTTTTTATATAAAAATTTAGTATCACAATGTTTGTCCACTAATAACTTTGAAATTACTGAAACGATGTTAATGAATTTTTATTTTTATTTTGTGTGATTTTTTCCAACTTAGAATATAGGATGGTTAATATCACGATTATTTTTCTTTTTTATTGCTAATTTAAGGATTCATTATTTAGACATTATCTAGGTCTCTAGGTATTGCAAGTTTTTGATAAATGTCGATGTATTACAATTTAATTATTTCACGTTTTTTTTTCAGATTTACATATGACATAAATAATCTTACTTTATATATTTTCTTATGTATTATTATTTTATATATTCCATTGTAATTGTGATATTATTTTTTGTGTTATTATTTATATATATTATATATAAGGTTTTTCCAAGAATTTCATTTTTTTTTTAGTAATTCTACAGGCACAATATTTTTTATGTTGAATAATTTAATGTATAATAAAAGGTAAAATAAAGTAGAATCGATATTCTTTAGTAAAATAACGTTAAATATAAATAAACAAATATATTATGCATTTAATATTGTTTAACTTTTCATCTGAATTATCAAAAATGATTAGTGAATATTAATGTTGACTGCATTAAACAATTTAAAATTAAATTAAATCAACGTTTGACAGATGACGCTGTATTA